TTTCCATTCATAAAGGCGATTCCACAAATTTTTCACAAAACTTTTAATTGATTAATGATTTTTTCATTTTTGGTTAAATTTTTGAAGGAGTCTAAAATGTTAAAAGGATCTCTTAAAATAATTATGAAAGGTTATAACATTGGTTCTAATTAATTTTTTTTTTCAATACCTTGATTTTAATTAATTATAATGATGTTTCTCATTTATGAATAAAATTTTTAATCCGTCTAAAATATAAACGAATCCCTTAAAACAGTGGACAAACCGGCAATAATTCTCACTACCAAGGCCAAGCCAGGCCATGATACTTTTTAAAAACATGAAAATTTTAATGAATGTTGTGAATGATACAAATTGCGTCTAATAAAAATTGTATTTTACAAGTAATTCATCAAATTTAGTTTTAAAATATATCGGAGAAATTTCTTTTGTGGCAACTACAGAATACATCTTACAAGTAACTGATAAGAAAATTTGTTGGGTATCAAAATTTGGAAATGCAAATGGTGGTTGGCAAAGAAAAATTCAAAGATATGCAAATGGTGTAATGTAAGGACACTGGATCTGTAAAATATAATAAATTGGGACACGAATATTGTTGACAAGATTTAAAACGGTAATTTAGGTTGTTGTAATTGGTGTTAGCTAAATTGAAGAATTGTGCAGAATGTAGCTTAATTTTATTTGAATGTTACCGGTTGCATTTTAAAAAATTCTCCTGAACTTGAGAAATTATTGGTGGAACAAAAGAAGTAGTGGATCAGTTTTTCACTATTATTACATAATTGCTACTTTGATGTAAAAGAGTTATATGAAAAAAGGTTTTTTAATAAAAAATTTTCTCAACTATCCTCGAATCATGAATTTTTTTTTCAACTATTTTTTTAGTTAAAAAACCTCTCAACTATACTTTATTAGTGAAATCAACCTTCCGTCTACAATAATGTGTAATCCCAATAAAAATTGTTGTCTTTTATTACAAAAACGACAATACGCCTTAAATATTGACCAAAACATCAAGTTGTTTACAGGAAAACAACACAAAGTGAATTTTATGACAAAAAAAAACGTGATCGTAGGTGTACTGTAAATCATG